TCTGCATAGTCGGTTAGAGTAAAAACGGCGCATGCCTTCCCCGGAGTCAGGACCCGTGGATTCTGACGTAGCCCGTGCATCTTAAAATCCTATAATAACGCCTAGGCATTGAAGTTGCCATGGCCATTCCGATCTGGAACCAAATGGAGAAACTACGAAATTTACCCCGTACGACCGCCGGTTGGGATGCAGACCTTCCTGCCTGCTAGGAGCCGGGGCTCTGCCCATAGAGATGCATAGATGTGTTTATCAGTGTGTCGGCGTGTGAGTATACAGCGCTGGTTTCTTTTAGGCTATTAGTGGTTTGACCTTGAACCTGTACCAGTGCAACGGCAGATTACTTTTATTTATGTATTTCATGGATTGAAGAAAATAACGTGTTTTTTTCCCCTCTCTGCAACCGCAGTAAGGGAGGGGAGTTTAATATACCTCGCCTAAGATTTCCCGGGTTGGCACCATCATTATTGTTTATCCCTGTGCTCCAACAGCCCAGCCTTCTGATGGCTCCCTTAGGTGAAGTTGGGAACTATTTCGGTGTGCAGGATGCAGTACCGTTTGGGAATGTGCCCGTGTTGCCGGTGGACAGCCCGGTTTTGCTAAGTGACCACCTGGGTCAGTCCGAAGCAGGGGGGCTTCCCCGGGGACCTGCAGTCACGGATTTGGATCATTTAAAGGGGATTCTCAGGCGAAGGCAGCTCTACTGCAGGACTGGATTTCACTTGGAAATCTTCCCCAATGGTACTATCCAAGGAACCAGGAAAGACCACAGCCGATTCGGTAGGTATACCATTAACATTCTCGTGTCCGCGCCGTTACACGTTGGGATTATAACTACCAAGAAGGGTTGGTGGCCGGGCGGGGGTGCAGGAAGGGTCTCTCCCTCTTTCTGCTTCTGTCTTGCCAGCTTAAATAAAATAAAATAAAAGCCCCCGGAATTGCTTGTCTGCCACTGGCACCTATGCAAGTCTACATTGAAAGGCTTTAAATTAAAAAAATTTTTTTTAAAGAAGGGCATTATTTATAAATATCACATAAGCTCCTCATTCCTTTCAATCAGATACTCAGGAAGATCAGGTTTAGGAATTTGTTTGTTTTTGTTTTGGATGGACCAATCCTAGGAGTTTAAAGCTTTAACCATTAACTACTGAGAACTTAAAAACGCATTTCCTGAAGGCATGTTTTATTGTAATCTGGTGCCCAATGAAGTTTTTGCCCCCTCCCCCTTTCTTCTAACAAGTATCCTGCTTGAATTGTAAATGAAAGGTATTGATTCCCACCATGAGAGTCTGAACCCCTTCTGCTAGGCTTGCTAGCTGAATGTTCTTTTGGGAGGACTGAAGTCACATTAGATTTGGGAAGGGGCAGGGCGCTCACTGGGGTTGCTTGTCCTTCTAGCCATCAAATTACCACCGGTCTATAGTGTGAGCCTAGGTGGGGTTCCTGGGTGACTCTCTTGTGTGAATGTGTGTGCGCTGTGCAAAAGCTGAGAGCTAATTATAAAGAGCATTCAGTTCTGAGGACTTCACTTCTCCAGGAGGGTACTTAGGACTCAGCATGGAGGCTACAAACCGGAGGGCTGGTGACCATCCACCCCTTTCATTTCTGCACGCACGTGCTGGCTGGACTGCCCAGAGTCCAACAGTCAGCATAGTCCAGGTGGGGGACTCTGCTTCCCCGCAACCCCCACTTATACAAAAAATAAAAAATAAAGAAATAAAAAGTGCCAGTTCGGGCAACCAGGCTGTTGAAAAAAGTTGATTTTTTAGTGGACCCACCTGACAACACTTAAAATGGGTCGTAAAAAACAAAGTCCCGCTGTGATTTTTCTCCCTTAAGCTTTCATGCCAGATGTAGACCACAATCTAAACTATCTGTTTTAGGTTCAGGGGCTGTTGATGAGGCCAGAAGGCGAGCAGGATTCAGGCCTGGGATGGGATGGCCTAGCATTTTGCCCCTTTGCTCCCCGAGCCTCAGCGCCAAGCTGAATCTGCTAGTGCAAAAAAATTCCTGGCTGTCTTAAAAAAAAAAAAAAAGAAAAGAAAAGAAAGTGGTAACTCCTGGCCTTGCAATTATTCGGTTGAAAAATACTTCTCCGTTCCCCACCCCGCTCCAGTGGATGCAGCTCTTGTGGTTGCACAGCAGACTAAACTTTACTAGTGCTGCTCTGGGACCGCTGTGGGGGCTGCCACCGTTCCCAGCGTTCGCACCAAGGTACGGGCGATGGGCGCCGCCGGTGGGACTGCTGGAGTGTCCGGGTCGCAGCTGCCGTCTGGG